ATTATATTAAATTATGAAATAAAAATTATTAAATGAGTTTTTATCGCACTCTATTCAACCATACAGTGATATAATTTGATACATCTAATTATATGACTTTTTTTTTTGAATAATTTACTATTTAAGATTTAAAAAAAAAAATTCAAAGAATTAATGGTATTTGAGACAAACCACTTTTGATCCGAAATTTCGGTTCGTACGACACTTGTTTTTTTTCTTATATAAACTACAACAAACATTATTACAAAAAAAAAAAAAAAAAAAAACCAACAAACACGAATCATTTGTTATCCAATGCAATCAACCCACGTCAGTAATGCTCAAACTGACCTATTTTATTTTGCCGCCATAAGCCAGACGATTGGCCCTCCAATTTTATAGCCGAAATCCCGACGCACCTGATTCCTACATCGCAACCGTTAATTAACAGCAGTCGCAACAAGCCAACAGCCTCTTCTGCTTTTGTAGAGAGGCCGCAGAAATTTGTTTCCTTTCATTCAATTTTCTGATTCCGGACCGAATGAAGGGTTTTACTTTTGTGGGTTTTTGTTCTTGAGGATTCTTCTGATCTTATCTCGAAAAACGGAGATTTTTCTTTTTCTTTTTTGGTTTTTTCAAGAGGCAAAGGAGGGGATGGGGGATGATAATAATGTGCTAAATACTGATGATTACTCCTTGCTAAAGGATTTCAAAGTGGAGATTGAAGCTGAAGAAGGGCGTTTCTGTCTCTGCTTTTGGGTTTATCTTTTGGATTCCACTGCATTTCCCACTACCCTCATTACACAGGTCTTACAACTCTTCTTCTTCTTTTTTATTTAATTGTTCTTATTTCTTCTTGAATGTGTTTAATTTTGTAAGTATTCTATGTTGGTTATTTGTTCCTCTTTTTTTTTTTCTTTTTTTTTCTTTTTTTGGTTTCTTAATCCCTTGGACCAGTGTAAACTCTGAACAACAGGCATTGGCCTTTGTTTTTGTTTCCTTTTTTTTAAAAAAAAAAAAAAGATTCTTTTGATTTTTTTAGGGTCTTTGGCCTTAGTTTTTTCTAGGGCTTCGTTTTCTGGGTATGAAAGAATTACCTTTTCTTGGTTTGTTTTAATCTATTACAGCAATGTTGTTATCTTAATTCTAGTGTTCTGATGGATAATCTAAGTGTTCTCTTCATTTTTACAGAAAATGAAATAACAGGGATGTGAACTGAGGCATTTTCTTTCTCTATGTGTATTTGCATGAGGAATGATTGTTATTATGCCGGATCATTATGACCTTGATGTCATTCCTTGTTCTTGTTTTCTGAGTATCTCTCATGTCTGATTAGTTTCTACTTGTCAATGTTTATCCTAAACTTTTAGTTTTCATTGTTCCTTAATTGTGAATTTCTTTGTATTTGTCATGGCCATTATAAATAAATGGAAGGAAGTATTGCATTCAAACACTAAAGTGAAATCAAACATCAATTTTGTATTCCGTCCTTTGTTCTTCTTTTCATATTTTTGTGTTTTCTGTTGAATTTTATTCCTTTTGTGACAAAATATATTATCTTGGTGTTGTTACCCATGCTTTCATATGGATGAGAAGTTTAGTCTTTTAGCAACTTTGGCTGTTATTTATGCTGCTTGAAGGATTTCTGAATGAAGACCAAAGGAAAAAAAAAAAAAGGATTTCTGAACTTTTTAATGATTCCTCTTTTCTTAATAATTGCTACAGTGAAAATATTCATGTGTTCTCTTCTGTTCTTCACCTCCATTTTTCTTTGTACTTTATCATTGTCTGCTTTTGACAGTTATCCTCCATTGTTTATTTTCTTTTCTCTTTCTAGAGTAACTTATATACTCTTTGGTTTGCAGGTGGACTCGGAGATAAATGGAAGTGCTCCTTTTCTTGTTCTAAATGAAAAGAAGAAAATGACAATGTTGCCTTTGACCTTTTCACACAAGGAAGCTTCTGATCCTGCAAATACCAATTTGTGGACAGAAGTTCCAGAAGTGTCTACAGAGAATGAATTTCCTTTAGGACAGTGGATGCATGTTGGATGTGAAGTATGTTTCAAACATCTGCTAAAACATTAGGACCTCATTTCTTTCAGTACTACTTCTTGATTTATTAATTTCTGTTTTTGTTTAAATATTATGAATTTCTTGGTAAATAGAGTTGAAATTCATAATTTACACTGCATGTCTGGGTATGACTGAAACTGAATATGAACTAGATTGACCAATAGTTTCATTACTATCTAGATTCATTGTTCCCTTGGATGCTATAATGTTTACATTTTTATCCTTATGGCTTTTATCTATGACGCAAAACCTTCAATATGACATGGATTGTATCTAAATAATGAATTAAATATTAGTTTCAAAAGAAAGAATTAACCATTAAACTGGTTACAAGTTTTTGCAGGTTCAGCATATAATTTGTCAGGATTCCTGTCCTTGTACTGTTGATAATCATTTTATTTGTATCTATTAGAAGACCTCCTTGTCTGTTTTAAGAAAGGAAATGAAAAGAGAACAGAAAAGAAGAGAATGGGCAAGAAGAGGAGGTTAACACAGAGATATGAAATTTCATCTTCTGCAGAAATACTAATTGATAGTCAGAATCAAAGAGTAAAAGTGAAAGGAAAGTGAAAGGGGAAACTAACATGAGGATTGACGTAAACTAAGAAAAGAATTTTACTGTTGGCTTTCTTTGCTGGGATTCATTTTCCTACTCCTTCACTTTTGAGCCTAATACAATGCTCAAACCACTTCTCCTATGTGTTTGCTTAAGTATTGTTCTCCTAGCACCATATCAAGATCCATATGTTATCATTTACGTAAACTTTTCATTTATTTATGGGAGATGATTATCCTTTGTGGTCAATCTCAGGTTTCAACTGATTCTATTCGGCTTCACATTGATGGGGAAGTTAAGGGAGAGCAGCATCTTCCTGCATTGTTGGACAAAGAAACCAAGTCAAATGGTTTAAGGAAGATAACAATACTTTCAGTTACTGATGATAACAATGGGGTGCAAGGTTATATCCACAATGTAAAAGTTTTGCCTTCAACCTTGTCTATTAAGGATCACTATGCTAAGGTGTGTATTAGATGTAGCTCTTGTTTTTCTATTATGGTTTCTCATATCATGTAATTTTAGACAATTGATGTGCAAGTTCACTGCCAGGATCCACCTTTACAATTGTCAATCAATAATTCATCTGCTTCTGAGATTGAAGAAGAAAGTGATGGTGTTTGGAGTATAGTGGGTGGCAAGGTTAGTCACAGATATTTAAAAGACTAAAACTATATGTTTTTGTTTACTTCTGTGCTTGGATGAAATTATAGTTTCAAGATACTTCTGTCATATTTTAATGGAATATTTGTGGATTTTATCCATTAATTAAAATGAATTTTTATTAATGCTAATCATTTTATAGTATTATTGACTATTATAAAATATTCCGAAAAGATTGGAACATTTTTGGACAACTATTTTTTCTCGGTATACATATAATTTCTTGTTGTAAGGTGCTAGTCAACTCCCTTATGTACTTCTGTTTCAACAAAGCCCACATTATGCTTCCCCAGTGTTGCTGATTTAAATTCACTTGAAAGCAATAAACTCATATTTCAGAGACATCTTTTGGAACTAGCATGTTATATTGTGGATGAAAGAAGAGAACTCGGGAATAAATGGAAGAAGGGTATTCCAATTTTAGAATTTGTACATGTTTGTTATGTTTGCTTTTCATCTCAGAACCAAGAAGAACAGAATAACTTGAAAATAACAGAAGATTGATTTGGAATCCAACCCTTTTGATTTACTGGCTTTTTCCCCAGGATTTTGGGCATTCTATCATAAAAAGATGGTTGCCCACCAAATAGAATTCAAGGCAATGATGTAAATTGTCACTTATTCAGTTATGATTTAATGAAATAACTATTCTATAGATTTCTTGTAAAACATGCTTTCCATTTTGCAGGCATCTTGTCGCAGGATTTTCTCCTTGGATGTTGTTTTATTGAATGCCTTGGGCCAGCCTGTAGACAAGGAAGCTGAGGTTTTATCTTTTTTCTCTCACCTGTTGTCCAGTTGTTTTTTACTTTTTATTTCACAATGTGGCACTGATTTTGGCACATAATCTTACACATTGCTTGTTTTGAAGGTTGTTGCTTCGCTTGTGTATGCGAATGATGGATCGCCTGTAGAGAAGACGAATGATGAAGAAGCACCCCTTTTGGCAAGCTATGATGGAATTGAATTTGCCTCTTATGATAGACCAAGTAAACTAGTGCAAGGGCGTGCATCCTTCAAGCTCAAGATATCCCAGGTGGCAATATTAGATACAGAATGGTTATGCTTCTTCTGTGAAGAATAAGGATATGTTTCATTATATCTTGTTAGAAATTCTAATTTCTGATCCATCTTTACATTAAATGCTGATTGTAACCTTTTGATGAAAAATTTGTCATATAGCTAAATTGATTGATTGAAACAAAGTATTTCTTAGATTCCTCAATTTTCAAATGATGGTCTCATCATCAGAAATACATCTTGTCCCATTTAGTTAGCTATCATCATGCATTAGTTTGCAACATCACTTTAATTTTCTTAATTAGGTTAAACACTTACAAACAATCATTAAATAGGAGATTTGGTTTTTATCATCTGCTGGACATATGGAATTACATAAATCGGGGATGTCTACCATACCAGGACGAAATATTAAAGACAAAAGAAGTAAATCTGGTTGCTTTGTTTCAGATATGTATGTATCTGATTAGTGCATTAATTGTATTTTTTCAGCTTTTATTGCACTCTCTTAGCTGTTGTATTTGTCTTCTTTTCCCAGTTAGATTTTTCTTGCACTTTGTTCTTTTACCAGCTTGAGGTTTGCTGCAGTTTAAAATCTACTTTAAGTCATTCAACTTGCTTGTAGGTGCTTGTGGATCTTGCAGTTTCAATTATAACTCTTTTCTATTGATTTAGAATTATTGACTCATTCTAAATTCTTTAATGTGTAGATGGGATGACAGGCTTGCAGTAAACTGGTGGTCCTGTGTTCTTTTATATTAAGACTTAAGCACATACTTCATGTAGAGGTTTCCTCCTTTAAGTTGTTGCTACATACCATAGGGTTGATAGCACAGTCTTATGGTAGGCATTAGGGAAAAAAAGAGTAACTGCTCAATATATATACATGATCAAGAATGTCTAAGGGAGCAATGAGAAGTATGAGGACAATTTGGGCTCATACTAGTGACTTCTTGTTAGTTTAAACTAGTGATTTGTATCTTTCCTTTAGTCACAGATGGTAGTAGCATATACACTCATGAAGATACCCCTTAGTGTATGGCATATATGAATTATGTGGTTCTAATAAATTTGACCAATTAGGTTTTAATGGTAAATCAGAATTGTTGAATAGACTTCAAAGTGTAGAGGTTCAAAGTTCAGTAGGAGTTGGGCTTGGATAAAATACTTGGAGGGCAACTCTCTAAAGGTTGTAAATGAAAATTAGTTGCTACACTCATAGGTTAAAGGTAGACCATAATAGTTACATGACCTTATGCATAAAATGAACTTAGCAGTTTCAGAGCACAAGAGGTTTCTCTAAGCCTCCAATTTAACGAGACAGAATGCAGCACAAGGTTTCCTGAAGTCTTTAATTCTATTAAGTAATGTGTGAACCATTTGTAGCATCGTATAATATTTGCACATAAAGAATGGTACTTCTAATTAGAGATTAATCTGTTTACTTATCCATTCTTCTTGAATTCACTAATGCCCCAACTGATTTTATATTTTCATTTCAGCTCTCATCCAAGTGTGAAAACAGGCTCTTCTGTGTAAAGTTTGAGATAACAAAAATTGAGGGTTATCATTTCCTCCAGGCATTCTCTCATACAATCCGTTGCATTTCTCGGAGTCGCAATACAAGAACATCTACTATTATCTGGAAAAAAACCTCTGCTGTACACCCACTCAACGGATCTCAATCCAATGGATTAGATGATGCATTGTTGGAACTTCAACACACTACTGTTCATGAAGCAAAGCTTAGTCCCTCATCAAAGCGGGTCAGATTGGGAGGGGCAAAGATGTTAAGAATGAACCAACCTGACGAGGAATGCAATTCTAGTGCCTGGACAGCTAATCAGGTATATAATGGGATTCCTTTTTCATTACAATGATCTTCTATCTTGATGCAAACAAGTGGAAAACAATCCATAAAAGTTATATCTGTGGGTTGATTGACTGTATATATTTTATATTTTTTAAATATTACTGCTAGGATAGTCACCATGCCATAGTTATATGCTACATAAGCAACTTCTGAACTGCCTACTAGTTAGAGTGTTTATTTTGGACTTGCCATTTTGATGGATGCTACATTTGTGCAAGTTGTTTTACTAACCTTATGTGATTATGTTCTCAGGTTCAAGGATTATATCAATTTGATTATTGAAACCTAAAATCCAAGCATACGCTAGTTTTGTATTAATCTTATCAGTGGTAATAAGTGTGTGTGTGTGTGTTAGTTGAAACCTAAAATCCAAGCATATGTTACTTTTATATTAATCTTATAAATGGTAATAAGTGGGTGAGTGTGTGTGTTGTTTGTGTTGGTCTTGTATTGGAGTTAGAGAGGAGTGGAAAACAACTATAGGGCATTGAAGTTGATTACATATAATATAAGTATAGATGCTCTAGGGATGCATAATTACAGCATGTTTAATTCATGTTCTTGGAAATAATCCTGAGTGCAGAGTATTTTAAGAATTTACCTTTTTATTTCAGATGTTAAGTTTTAATCATGGAATGGCTTGAACTAAATAAAAGGACTGAAATTCAAGAAACTCAGACAACAGTTAAAGGAGGGACCTGAATTTTGTTAGCCAAAGAAAAAAAGTTTGAGGGACCTTCCTCTTTTCTCCAGAAACCAAAGAGGCATTTTTTGTTTTTAGTTGGGATTTCATCCTTACTTAAGGTCTGAAATGTGGGATTTATTCCTTAAAATGGTTAATTTTGTCTACAACCTTTCATATTTTCATTTATGGAACAACAGTAATATTGGAAACTGTTTAAAGGTTCTAAAGGATAATGTAGTTTTGTGGCATGGAATATGGCACCATGTCAACTTAATATCAGTAGTACAACCTCAATAAGATACCTTTTAATTGAATAGTTTAGAGAAAAACGGAGGTGGGAGATATACTCCTGCTCCAGGAGTAAAATTTATAATAATTTATTAATTGAAAAACGAAAGCTGGACTGCGCTATTGTTACCTTGCAGAAGTATACTAAGCTTTGATTTCTATTAGGATGTGTAGTAAAAAAACTTGAAAATAGTTGTGTTTATCTTCTTTATAATTTTTTAAATGGCATAAATTATAATGATAATGATGATATCTTATAATGATTATGTTAAGCCTACTATTGATGACAGTATATTGTGGTTGTTTGTTGTTCTAGTCTGCCATCTCCTGCCTTATCCCTGGTGCCTTGTAGAACATTTTTCCCCCTTTTTATGATTGTGGTTTTAGGAATTAATTTGCACATGGAACTTCATTTTCCATTTCTAAAATTTGTTTTCATATATCATGGCCCACTTCATCAACATTATCAATTAGGTTGTGAATGGTTTTGGGTCGAGTTTGGATGGGAGACCTGGGAATTTTGAAGAAGCAGGCAACTCATCTGATTCAGAGAGCACTGAACCAAGACAACCAACTTTAAAGGGTGTGTCGAGTGGAAATTCAGTTTCAGATTTAACAATTTTCAGATACTGTCTAGGAGGCTTGACTGAGAGGTCCCTTTTACTTAAGGAAATTGCAACCACTGCTTCTGATGAAGAAATTTTGGAATTTGCTGACAAGGTGTCCCTGTATTCGGGGTGTTGTCATCACAGGTAATTGGGAGAACCACTTCTTTGGGACATCATTATTGTGGTTATTGCACTTTATTGGATTACGTATAGGATATATCAATAAAACCTTTTCACATGACATCTCTTATTATTTTTGGCATTCGCTAAGAGATTTTTTGGCTAATCAGTTATATCTGAGTTGTATTGTTGATTCATTGGTTAACATGACTGCTGCCAATTACAGTCTTTCCCTTTTACTACACATCTACTGCATTGGAAGATGTCCTCTTTATCTGGTTTGCTTCTAGAGCCATGTAAACATCCAACCTAAAAGCAATTGCTAAATTTGTAGTTGCCTACATTATATTTAAGTCCATGGTTTCCCTTTAATTGAGATTTTTAAAAGCATGGCTACTCACAACCAAAACCCAATAAGCCACTGTCAACCTCACTTTTGGGCTGCACACTCAGGCTTCCACTGGCCTGCACTAGGTTACGCACTATTAAAACAGGCACCTTTGGGTTAGGCACACAACTTGGGCATGGGTTTTGATACCATTTAAACATCCAACCTAAAACCAATTGCCAAAGATGGAGTAGTCCACATTGTATTTATGTCCTCAAGTTTCCCTTTAATTCATTGATGTGGGGTTTTCCCTCTTAACAAGCTGGAATTTGGATCCTTCCACTAACTGAAGGAAGAGATTGTAAATCTTGTTCTCCTAATGGTTGCCCTTGCTCTATTTATATTAGCTATAAGGAATTGTGTTGCTATTGTGTCTGTCCAGAGGCAGAAAATTGGACCAATCAACTCATGGATACTGCCCCTAGCCCCTTTATCTTGCATAATGTACTATTTTGCTTCATTCTTGAGTTCTTGTTTAGTACCATCAAATTTCTGTGGTTCTTGAACTTATAAAAACTTCTTTTCCCCTCCTTAGGCATCAAATAAAAGTTTCAAAGCGATTGATTGATGAAGGAATAAAAGCTTGGAATTTGATGTCACAAAACAATCATCAAGTTCAGTGGGAGAGTGTGGTTTTTGAGATTGAAGAGCAATTCATGAGGATTGCTTGCTGCACTACAAGATCTCTCTCTCAGCAGGTCTGTATATATATCTCTGGTTTTCTCACAGACTTAAATGTGCCTTTCGTGTGAATTTTTGTGGAGCCAAGAGGCGGGGTATGTCATTGGTGATGAGGAATGTTTCTTTATTCTTTGTAAATTTTAATAAATGGTCTAAAGGGTTGGCTATATTAGGATTCTATTTGCTAGCTTTCTTTTATAATGAAACCATTATGTGGTCAATATTGGGATTGGTTGGAGGGGGAGAGATGACGATTGTTCTTTTCAATATTTAGCTCTGACTATGAGTAATTCTCTTCCCCCAAAGTGACATACTTGATGAAGTTATCTTGTTCTGTTTGAGGAAATTTCGGCATTCAACATTTCATGTTATTTATCACTTGGAGCATGTTTACTACGTTGGTATTCTACAAATCTACAGTTCATGTTACATTTTTGCTGTACACTGAAAATTGTTGGCCAAGCCAACAAGGAAAGTAGGATGCAAAATCTATTCATTTTGCATTTACATTTTTTCTGAGGAGTGGTGTTATCGCACACTGATTAAGTTTTGGAGTTTAGTGTGGTCTTATATTCAAGTTGACCTCTCCACTTGTTACAGATTGGTTTTGGATTGAATGTGCTGTATGTTATTTAGGGTGTAGTTGGTTCTTTTTCTGTTCTTCATCTATCACCATTGTTCAGTTGTTTGGCCTGTCTATCTACTTGGTTTTAGTTTGATGCACAGTATCAGAGCTCATGTTAATTTGTGTCTTGTTTGTTATCTGGCCTATTTTCAAGGTCCATCTATTCTGTTGCTTTACTAACATATACATGAGAGGGAAAGGGAATATTAAATGGTATTACAGTGTTTAAGTTTGATGTGTTGCCTCTTAACAATTTGTTTATGTTGGATACTCTGGCAGAATAGAACCAAGGGTAAAGGATTTATTTTAAATGTAATGTCACTGATGCTACCTTTAAAACATGTTGCCTATGACCCAGTCTTTAATGTGTTGAATTGGGAAACCGTATGATTGTTATATTTTTGTTAGCTTCACTATGACCATCAATGTATGCTAGAAATTTTAAGTGCCTCAGACCATGAATTTTTTATCTGAGTGGTTTCTTCAAAATGTATCTCCTTTACTTATTCAGTCTTGTAATAGAAGTAGGAAATTAATGAAGTCTTAATTTCTTCTCCCTTGTTCTTGGCTTGATTGATTATGTTTTTTAACTTAGAAGCCTCGGCAACAAACTTCAATTTTCTTAGTATGTTACAAGTAGTTTCAGAGCATGAAATTTATGTAAAAGGTGAAGTTGGACCAAGTCTAATGAGATAATAATTGTTCCAGGATTTTGAGGTATTGAGAAAAATTGCTGGATGCCGAGATAACTTGGCTCAAGAGAACTTTGAGAAAATGTGGTGCTGGTTGTACCCTGTTGCTTTTACATTATCAAGAGATTGGATAAACAGGGTGTGGAAATCTACATCACTCAAGTGGATAGAAGGATTTATCACGAAGGAAGAAGCAGAACTCTCACTACAAGGTCCAAGAGGCCTTCAAGCGCCGGGGACATTTGTACTTAGATTTCCCATCTCAAGGAGTTGGCCTCACCCAGATGCAGGCAGCTTAATTGTGACATATGTTGGTAGAGATTTCGCTCTCCATCACAGGCTGCTTTCTCTTGATTATGTATATAGGTCTGGGCATGCTTCCTTTCTTTTTCAAAGTTCATTCATTATATAGCTGCCTGCTTACCTATTTTTAGCTAGGTTGGGTTCTAGTCACAAGAGCCTTATCTTTCTATGCTGTTCAAAGAGAGCATTGGAAATGATAAATGATTAAGTTCATGGACAAAGTAATGCTAATGTGGTAACCAACATAAAATTTTGAAAAAGAAAAAAAACAATTGCCAAATAATTTCTTCTGAGGACAGCATAATATTTTCAGACATATGTAGGTTTGACCATCTTGATTTTGTTAGTAAAACACAACGAACTCTCATAAAAAATCTCCATGCAATTGCTTTATATTGCTTTAGTTTATCATCAACATATACCTTAAGACTAGGACAAAATGATGGATATTTTCCATTTGGCCATAGAGTTGGATGGCTAATCGATCATTCATGTGCAGGTCCTTGTTTATTCTTGTCCTTTCTTAGGCCTCCCACTCAACCCTAGCACCTTTCTTTGTTCCCTTGTTTTGTCGGCTTTAACTTTCCAGTTAAAGCCAAAAGGGACAAGAAAGAGAGAAAAGAGAAGGAAGGGAGGAGATGTTGGTGGTTAGATCCTTGCTAAGAATCACTAAAAGTGGTTGTGTTTAAATTTTGTTTTGTAGCTTGGACAAAAGGCGGATGAGTAAAGTAACACTACAAGAGATGCTACTATCAGAACCTGAGCTCTCCAAATTAGGAAGGTAAAGCTTACTTCCCTTCACTGTTGAATGAATCAATTATGTTGCGTTTGAAGAATGTGTAGATGATCTTCGATTTCATTACTTGAAAATGCAGGGTAGTAAGAAGTCATTAGGCTTTGGTCAGGCTCTGGCATTCCACTCCCGCGGCTGCTTTGTGGTGATAATTTTTTATGTTCTTTGCTGCCCCCCTTCCCTTTTCTTTCTTCTTCTCTCTTGCCCTTTTAGTTACATTTTATGCTTCGATTTACTACATCTCATTTCTGTTTCTTCCCTTTTTCATCACTTCAAAATCCCAACAAGGTTATGGTTACATTGTTAACAAAAGTTCTTTGAAGATGACATCCATTTATTTATTGCTGTTGAAATTCTCATTCTTTTTGGTTTGCTATAAGTTCTCTTGATTCTCTCTGGCAGACGAAAGAAACATGATTTCCAACATATTTAAGAAATTTTTTCCTTTTGGTTATGGGGAAAATTGGGAGTTGGAAGTAGGAACCTATTTCACTATTATAAGTAAGAATATAGCTTAGGCTAAACAAGCTCCTGCCTTCGTTACCTGTTAATAATCTTGGAAGTAGCAATTCTGGTTTCAACGTAACGGCAAGGATGAGGGGGAAAAGGACGTTGCAATTTTAAATACCTCTTTAACGAAGGAGAATAGAGAAGACAGAGGAGCCCTCCAAGACAAAAGTTACTCGTGACTAAGTAGAGCATGAATGACTTGAACTTTAAGATCAAAGTAGAGAAGACAGTTGAAGAAGATGGTGAGGAGAGAAAAAGTCTGAGAAAAGAGTTTGATTTTGGTCGAAAAGGGTGAAATGACTTTAACAATTAAAAAATATGACAATATTATAGTTATAATGTCACATAAGATTGTAAGTTTATAATTATGATTAAATGAATGGAGGTATATAATCTCACAAATAAAATTTTAAATGAAAATAGTTAATTATATAATAATCAATTATAGTATAAACTTGTAATATTAAAAAATATTATAATTATAATATTTTCATAAAAAATACTCCTTTTTTGTGGCATAAGCAAATTTCTCAGTGGGACTGGCAATGGCACTAGCAGCAAATTGACCCGTAGAGGGTAGAGAGAGGAGTATGGAATAACCATTTTCAAGTCGGGAATGGTAATTGCCTCTAACCAAATTGTTATGACTAAAGAAACTCGTTAATCTGGGTGAAGTCTTAAATTTGGTAGCCTTATGGTTGGTGGCAATTACCATTCCTAGCCAGGGAGGTAGGAAAAGGAGCACGGATCACATGGTTTTGTAGGTGGCGTCAAGGGCTGCGCGAGCTTTGGCGTCTCGTGGTGGAAGATTTGCTCTATTATTGACTTGTTCTATCGAGGGAGTAGATCTGGAAGTGGGCCTTTCAATCTCTAATTTCAGGATATACTATTTAACTGCTACGTTTAAACAAATGATCGGGTGCATTTAGGATTATTATGAAGTGTTGTAACTGTAATTATAATTGTATTAAATTGTGTTGTGTTGTATTATAATTGTAGTTGAAAGTTATTTTGATATTTGTTTATTTATTTATTTTTTAAAAATATTATGAATGAAATATGATAAATTTTATTAATTATTAATTAAAATTTAAAAAATATTATAAAATATATAATAATTAAAATAAATAATATTTATTTTTTTAATAATGTACGTTTTTAAATTTAATCTCATTATTAAAATATTATAAATTATGATATAATTAAATTATGAAAAATTAGATTTTAATAGATAATTTTACAATTATATTAAATATTAGGTTTTTTTTATAAAAACTACAGTAAAAAAGTTCAAAAATAAGATTTTTGACTTTATATATAAAATTACTATAGATTTGCTGTAACTTTCTTCAGTTTTTAGAAAAAATAGTCTAAAAAAAAATTACTAAACACATATTTAAAAGTATTATATAGCTACACAAAAAAGCCCTCAACCGCAATCTCAAATGCATCTGATATCCCTTTTTTCAAAATAATTGTTTTTTTAAATTTGTTTAAAATTAAATATTATTTTTTTTTAAGTTGACAAATATTTTTTTAACAAATGTTATAGTTATATTACCAAGTAACATTCTAAGTTTATAACATGTTACATTGTTATGTAATTAACTCTTTATTTAAAAATTTACTTGTGATATATATGTATTTATTTATTTAATATTACATTATTTTTATTTATATTATATTATAATTATAAACTTATAATTTTACATATTATTATAATTATAATATTTTTGATTTTTTTTCTACTTTAATCGTTATCTATTTACTCTAATTAGTATGCACTGGATCCGATTAGAACTCTGCAATTAAGTATGTTTGGATGAAAATAGGATTAGGATAAGTGGTCTCATAAGAAGTTCTCCTGTTATACCCCTCTTTAAAAAAAATGTACCCAAAAAAAAAAAAAATCATCAAATCACAAAAGATCTCTATTTATCATTTATTTCTTTTTCAAAGTTTCCGTTTATCTTTAATTTTTTTAAAAAAGGTCTTATAAGTAAATAAATAAAATTTCTCCAAATTCTTAATAAAAAAAAATAAAAAAAATGCAACGAGTAAGTTGCTAAGGTTCCATCAGCGTTGAAAAATGCAACTGAAGGACAAGATACCCAATATCTTGCAGGTAAAATATACATATCAATTGAATAAAGAATCCCATCCAATAATAGTTCAAAATGGTTTCTTGCCTCTATGATTTGTAGGCATGTAGCACGATGTACCTAGAGCACAAGAGCGCATGAAACCACATTGTCTTCTTTTTTTTTTTTTTTTACAATTTATAATTATTTATAAGGTTAATTGAGAAAAATAAAAAATGTAAAGTTTTAACGTGCAAAGCACATAGGTGAACATTGTCTATTATTTTGATTGATAATATACATTACTTGTTAATAAGAAAAGTCAACCAACAACATCTAAGAAGCAACGAGCTCAAATGCCTGCAGAAGCATCTCCAGAAAGCCTGGATTGCCCAAAACTCTTGGTGTCGGTGTCTGTGATTCTTCAGGAGCAGATGGATGAAATTCAAGCTCAGCAAAACAGCATCCCAGGTTCTAATTTCTATCTACGCAACTCTTAGAAGATTGAAGAAAAGTTCCTAGTTTCTCTTTTCTTTTACTTCTTATTAAGCAAAAATGTTTCACCAAACCATGCTTGCAGAATTGCAAAAACTTGTCTTGGAAAGTGGTTCAGAGACTACCAATGATCAGTCCTCCATCCTCATGCAGAAGCGTTGGAACTGGTGGGTTGTGGTAGCTCTCAACGTTGCTTTTCTCTTAATTGGTCAATTCGCTGGTGTCCTGCTGGGAAAATTCTACTTCACGGGAGGTGGAAGTAGTACATGGATGGAAGCACTTCTACAAACTGCAGGATTTCCAGTCCTCTTCCTCTTCTTCCCACTTCGCTTCTTCCCTTTCGCTCAAAAGCTTCCCACCAATAGCAGCAGTGGCACCAGCAGACCTTCTTCTTTTACTTTCACGTGGATTTACTGCTCCCTTGGCGTTCTTCTTGCTGTAGACAACATGTTGTATTCAATAGGGTTGATTTACCTTCCTGTCTCAATTTACTCTCTCATCTGCGCAACTCAGTTGGCTTTTAATGCAATATTTTCCTTCTTTATCAACTCTGAGAGACTCACTATCCTGACCCTGAATTCTGTCATCCTTCTTACCCTATCAGCTTCACTGGTTGCAATCAATGGAGATTCTGAGGAAGAAGCAGCTTCCGAAGGAAAGTATGGATATGTTATTGGCTTCTTAAGCACTGTTTGTGCTTCAGCAGCCTACTCTTTACTGCTTTCCCTTATGCAACTGACCTTTCAGAAAGTATTGAAGAAGGAGACATTCTCAGTTGTCTTAGAGATGCAAATTTACACTTCATTGGTTGCTACTTGTGTTTGCCTTTCGGGTCTGTTTGCAAGTGGGCAAGGGAAGGGCTTGAAGGCTGAAATGGAGGGATTTGAGTATGGGAGAGTAGCTTATATCGTGTGCTTGGTGGGAACAGCTTTGGCTTGGCAGATTTTCTTTGTAGGAGCCGTAGGGCTAACCTTTCTGGTGTCTTCTCTCTTCTCCAATGCAGTCAGCATGTTGTCTTTGCCTTTCGTTCCTGTTGTTTCTGTGCTGTTTTATGGTGAAAAGATGGACGGGGGAAAGGTAATAGCTATGTTGCTGACAATTTGGGGTTTTGCTTCTTATCTCTACCAGAATTGTCTTTATGAGAATGATTCCAAGCTTGAAGGGCATGAATGACTATGCTGCTTTAAGCACCATTTGAACAATAAATACCACAGTGCTTGAAGTGACTAGGATGACAATTTTTCCCAACCCTCCAGAGGGCCAAGTATGGGAGCATTCCTTTCTGATGAAATTTTATGAAGAAATTTTTTGGGCAGTGTCGTAGGAATAATTTTTTTATATTATTTTTTAATATAATTTTTATATATTATTAAATGAATCGATGCATTCAATATCATGAGTCCTACATGAATTAAAAAAATTAATCATTTAAATGACATCTTAAGTTGTATCAAAATATAATATAAAAAAGTTGTTCCAAAATTTTTTTTCAAAATTTTTTTTTGCCCTCTGGGTTTTTACATAGATCTTATTACACGTGGAATATTAAAATAAATAAATTATTAAATTTAATTTAATTTAAATATTTAACACATAATTTTTATTCTTAATTTTATACAGTTAAATTACTTTAAACCAAATCCAACCTTAACCTCAGTCATAGATCATATATCCTTAACCCAACTAATCATACGGGCAATTATAATTTATAAACCATTCCATCCACAAGTACAAAGCCTCACTTTCAGATGTGGTGGGCGTGGCCCATTGGATTTCATGGGCTTTTCATTTTGTGTTGCTGTGTGTACTTTTATTTCTTATGATGAGCACTTAGAGGCTTTTGGAGATCGGTTAAAATTTATTTTTAATTCTTTATTTTAATAAATTTATAGATTTTAATTTTTTACTTTATATTATAACATTTTTAACTCTTTATTTTAATAAATTTGTAAGTTTTAACTTTTCACTTTATACTATAACATTTTTAATCCTTCACATATACAAGTTGAAAAAAATAATCCTTATTTAAAATCATATTATAACGTTTTATTAGTTCTGTTAGTTGACTGTTAACTGACTGTTAGCGTTCTGTTAATATTCCGTTAGCATTCCGTTAATGGAACTAACAAATAAAATTGAATTTAAATTTTATGTTTTTTATAACAAAATACTAATAGATATTTTAATAGTCAGTTAACAGTCAGTTAATAGAACTAACAGAATATTATAGCTTAATGATAAATAAGAGTTATTTTTTTCAATTGGTATAAGTGAAGGAATAAAAGTGTTAATAAGGTGAGGAGCTAAAACTTACAAATTTATTAAGATAAAAGGTTAAAAATATTATAAAATAAAATGAGAAGTTAAAACTTACAAATTTATTAAGATAAAAAGTTAAAAATAGGTTTTTACCTCTGGAGATCAAGGTTTTTGTACACTGTTAATTGTCTCTGTTTGCTTGGGCCAATTAATGTTCTCTTCTTATATATCTTTGTTACCAGCTGACATCAATCTTGTTTGTAGACCTATCACACTCTTAATATTTGACATTCTTTTATGTCAGTGGTTAACTATAGGTTAGGATTTGATACTAGTGACATTCCGTGTAACTTGCTGTGTTTATTAAATTCATATATGTTGTACATGAAGCAATTATTGGCTCACATATATACCTACCTTTGCTAGTACTAATACAGTTTCATTGCTAGTACTAATACAGTTCATTGTTTCAGGTCGTTTCTTCTTGGAAAAAATGCAGCAAGACAGCATCAGCTCCAATTCCTTCCGAGAAACTACAACTTCAACAATGGGGCCAGTCCTAGCAATGCCAACTTTATTCAGCAGATGGAAGCTCCTAATCCGCAAATGGAACCGCTTGTTTTAAATCCAATATGTCAGTTTTGGCGCAGGGATCGGTTGCATTCCGTGATAATTGACCATGGACTGAGGGGTTGAAGGTTGCAAGAATGGCATTTTGAGCCAAACATTGCCCCTTACCAGGATAGCACAAGCTGGAATAGTCTTGCACAAAGCAGTCAGCTAACGCCATATGTTCCCTATCATGGCTTTCCAAATACTCGCTCAGCAGCAGCTGCAGTGCCCTTCTATGCAACACCAGCAGCCCATCCAGTTGCTCAAGATCATAACTTTTTGCAATTGAATGGGGCAAGCATGACTGACGTTTTTCATTCCCAGCATCATTCGATAAAGGCTTCGAGAAATTATTATATGATGAATCCTCTCGAATTTGTAGTTCCCGAATTTGAACGCCAGTATTTGGTGAACAGGCAAACAAACTTAAGGTTGACCTTTCCTGGATGCGTTCCATTTGCTGAAAGAAGTAGCTCATGGTTAGGTTTTCATGATCCCGTGCCGAATTACTCAATGCACGTTTCAAGAAACATGATGAATCGTCGTAAATTTGAACGGAGGAATTTGGTGAACGGTCAAACAAGCATGAACATGGCCTTTCCTGGAGGCATGTCTTTAGCTGAAAGACATGGCTCAGGGTTAGCCTTTCATGCAACTTCTTCATCAAGGTTTTCCTACGAGCCATGACTGCAAGATAACATCATGGATGGCTTGCAGGAGTCCTGGTGGCAGGGACATCGCGCGGCCCTACTCATAGTTCACATGTTGCTGTGCATGAAATAGGAGCTTCAGTCAAAGGTGGTTGTTCCAGGCCTTCTCAGTGGAGAGACGTGCTGACAGAGGAGGAGCTTCACCTCGCTTCCGATCTCCAAAATACTCTTGAAAGGGGAAGAGGACTGCTAAATGTGAGACGTGCTGATAGATGAGTAGCTTCACCTCGC